AGATTCTGAGACAAGGATTTAGGTACAAGTACATCCTCCCTTTTCTCTTTCTTTCTTCCTTCCTTCCTTCCTTCTTTTCTCTCATTTTTAATTTTTTCTTTGGTGGGGATCAAGACTAAGACTTCTTGCATGCTAAGCACATGTTCGATCACTGAGTTACACTTCTAGCCCTATTTTATTCTTAATCCCTTGATCTTTACATGGATTTTATTTTATTTTATTTTATTTTTTGTGGTACCAGGGATCGAACTCACGACCTCACACTTGACAGGCAGGCGCTTATGCCACTGAGCTAAATCCCTGGCCCCTTTTCATGGATTTTAGAGTCAGCTTGTCACATTCCATTGTAAGAATGGGGATTTGTGTGGGAATCAAACTGAATTCATAGACTGTTTTGGTGAGAGAGGTTTGCTTCATTTTGCCCTCCTATTTATAATATGTACAGCATATATTTCAACTTAGTTCATCCTTTTAAATTACTGAGTAAGTTTTATATTTGTCTTAGTTCATCTGTGCTACTCTAACAAATACCTGAGACTGAGAAATGTATAAACAGAAGTGTATTTTCTCAAAGTTCTCGAAATGGGAGTTCCCAGACTGAGCCAGCAGCAGGGCTGGGTGTGGGAGGGACCAGCATCTCCATCCTGCTTTGCTAGAGGGGACAAAGGCCACATCTTCACAGGGTGGGAAAAACGGAGAGAACAGACTCATTCCCACTCTGTGTGCGTGTATGGGGTGCCAATGTCAGCGGCCTCGCCCCTGAGAATTATCACAATGGCCTCTGAGTTCCATGCATGAAATTGAGGGACACAGTTCCACCATAGCAATGTCATTCTGGAAAAGTCTGGTATGTCTTTTGCTAAATATTTCCTCAGATCTTTGTCACATTTGTGAACAGAATCCTTTTTTGTCCGTTGCATTTTCTAATTTCCTATTACTGATGAATAAGAATAGCAATCCTTATTTTAAAAGTTGATCTTTAATTAATTAACCTTACTACCTCCCTTACCAGTCCTAATATTTGTTGGATTATTTACCCCCTTAGATTTGCTACAGTCATGTTGCAAATATGGACACTTTTCCTTTGTAATTCTTAACTTTTATTTTTCTATCTAGTATAGACTGAGTGATGTACATTTCTGATGTTAAGCAGCTTGTGATCTAAAAAAATGACAATTCTTTTGGTTTAATTTGCACATTGCCTGGGTCCCTGCATGCAATAAGAACAGTGATAGATGACCTTGCCTAGGGATACCCTTGCCAGGTCTACTAGGTTAAGGAAGCTAGACTAGCAGTGGTTTTCACTGAGCTGATATTTAAGTGTTGAGGCATATTGCATGAATGAATTATAACACTGACTCACCTGTACATTCTTGAGATGAAATTTACTTTGCAATTAAGCATTGCTAAGAGTGTACACTATTGTATTCAACTTAGCATTATTCCATTTAGAATTTCAGAATCTATCTTTGTAATAATATAATAGCTAATGTTTCTTAGATCAAGGCCCTATTAAAGTGCTTTCCATTAAGTATTTCACTTCATCCCCAGAGACTTATTGTGAAGGTTATTTCCCCTTTTAAAAATGAAGAAATCAAGGCACAGAAAAGTCAAGGCACTCTCTCAAGACCACAGAGAAGATCAATACAGACTTCAGAATCCGGTCCAGATTCCTGGCCTCAAAGTCACAGGGTAACCACTACTTCACACTGCCTCCTAATGTTAAAGACTCAGAAGGCAGATTGGTCTATGATAAGCTTTTGTTGCATATCTATGTTCCAGCTAAACACCAAAGTTATGCTTTTCTCAGTAAGTAACCAGTACCTCCTTTTTTAATTAAAAAAAATCGTCAACCTTCTGCAGAAACATTTCATCTGCAATGAATTCACTGATCTTTCTTAGACTTTGTTTCTATATTTTCAAATCTCAATGTGTAGATTCTTTTTTTGTCTTTTTGAGACAGAGTTTCACTAAACAGTTCAGACTGACTTTTGAACACACTTGGTCATGCAAGTTGGCCTTGAACTTGCAGCAATCCTCCTGTCTCAGCCTCCCTAGTGCTGGGATTACAGGCAAACACCATCACACCTGGCCTTACTTTTTTAATTTCAGTTTTACAGAAAAATTTCTAGTATCATAAAAAAAGTTCTCTATGTGTCATTTGGAAGTACATTCACAACATCATGTGTCCCCATTACCTCTGAATATGTTACTGTACATTACAGACAAAGGTATTCTCCTAGAGAGTCAAAATAGACACTTCAGCCTCGGAGCTGACTCTGATACCTCAAGCCCTCTGGCCCCATTAAGTTTGCCAGTTGTTCCCATAATGTCTTAGGTAGCAAAAAGATCCCTTCAGGATCACATGGCACATTTTACTGTGATATTTCTTTGGCCCCCTTCAATCTGGAAAAGTTTGAGTTTTTCTGTAGCTTTCATAACCTTGACACTTAAAAAAACAACCAGTTATTTTGTAGCAAATCTCTTTATTTGGTTTGACTGATATACCCTCATGACTGGACTGAAGTCATAGGTCCTTGGCAGGAATATCACAGGAGCGGGATTCTACATCTCTCCTACCCCATTCTATCAGGTGGCCCCCAATTTCTATTGTACTCATTTTTGCTGATGTTACTTTCCTTACTTGATTAAGGTGACATACTCATTACCTGTTATTTCTGTAACATTGTTATAAATGTTGTGGCTCAAAATAACTTGTTTTTAAAAAATCAGTCTGAGGTCACAAATCTAAAATCAATCTTTTGAAATGCATAATGTATGTACCATTGTTGCTCCCTGATTGATGTGTTTTGAGATTTTGTTTTATTTTTCTCTTTCTTTTTTTCTCTTTGAAATCAAATGGGTTTGAAAAATAAAAAATAAATAAAATCAGTTTTATAAAAACTAAAAGTCAGAACTTTTAGCAGGGCTAGCTCCTGTTGGGAGCATTTCAGGGTGAGAATTCATTCCTTGCTCTTCTAGCTCGGGCCTCGTTGCTTTTCTCATTGCTCAGCCACTGAGCCTGACACCCACAGTTGAAAGGAGAAGTATATTTTAGCTCACATTTTAGTCTGAGCTTCGCTGACTCCAAAGAACAAACAGCATGCCAGAGGGGCCTGGCGGAGGAGAGCTGCGTATGTCATGGCAGACAGGAAGCAGGGAAAAATAGGAGGAGCTGGGGGAAGGAGACAGACTCTTCTGCCAGACCCAGGCTCTAGCAAGAAGTCAGCTGTAGCACCCTTATGATCAAGTCACCTTCCAAAAGCCTCACCTACAGTGCAACAGGCTCTGAGGGACATCCGGGTATAAACCACATCAAGTCCCAGAGGCTGCCTTGGCATCCCGGCTCAGAGTCACAGCACACTGACGCCTCCTTCCCTCTTTATATTTCACTGTCCCACTCTTACCACAACCCCCATATACACTTCTTAGAAAGACTCCTCCTCCCTATAACCCAGGAACGCTTCCCAGCCACAAAATCCCATCTGCAGTCCCTTCTGCTGGAGAAGCTCCCATATACCAATGCCACGACTAGGACATGACAACTTTGGAGCCTTTATTCCACCTACACAATGGTGCCTGCCAGAGTCTCCGTACGGTTAAGTCTTCTTTCTTTGTAATGAGTAAGTATTGTGTACAGACCCCTTAAAATTCTATAAACAGCCCACTTCTCATCAGACTTCCAACTTCACTTCAGAATAGATTCCTATTTCATGTAACGAGTTACAATTCATCACTGTTCCTGTCTATCTCAATATCTAACTGTCCTAGGTTAGTTGGCAGAGGCCCTTTAAGGCAGTATTTGTCCTGTGACTTGTCCCCACAATCTCTGAGGACACCCCTTACAGGACTATCTGCAAGAACATCTCACTGGCTCCAGGGTGCTTATGCTGATGGTGTTGTATTCTGTCTCCCTCGAGCCTCCGCCTTCCACCTGGCAGCTTCCACAGCAGCCTCAGACTGCTGTATGTTAGGGAAGACCCACCAGGGGCAGGTTCCCCTCACGCAGTGCCGTTTCAGGGTACACTCAAGCCAAGTCTTTCAGTACCTAACATCCCACAGATTGGCCACCGTCTTTGATTTCCAGCTTTGGACCCCAGTTCTCTAGTGGTTTTCATTTCGGATTCATGAAATGTGATCTTATTTGGGGCCTGGTTATGGCTTTTTAAATGACTTTATAAACTTCACCTATTATTGCTGAAGTTTAAAGAAGAGAGGAGATGCAAACCTAAATTCTCAAAACCATCCCCACAGGAAAGCCAGCACCATTTCGACAGCTAGGATTTTTATTTATTTTTGGGGACAGATACCGGGAATCGAACTCACGACCTTGCACTTCCCAGGCAGGCGCTTGTACCACTGAGCTAAATTTCTGGCCTTTTTATTTTATTTTTTAAGATCATATGCCAGCATGTCAGGTTATAGAGCGAAGACCCTGGGGAAACAATATGAAAGCAAGACTTGCATCCTGGAGAGAGGTATCACGCCCTAGATCCTGCCCTTCCCACCTGTCCCTGGGTTGTCTGTGGCCTCTGAAGGCCTGGCACAGAAGGAGGCGGGGTGGAGGGTGAAAAGCCCTGGGGCTCTAGGCAGCCGCCAGAGACCCTTAGGACTCAGACTTGGGGACTAGTCGGGGCGGGTGCAGAGGTGGGGCGCGGACACTTGCACTGTGGTGTTCCCAAACTCAAGGCAACGCGACTGGTTCCAGAGTTCAGCAGAGCCACCCGGAAAGTTGGCCCTCCATTCTCTCCCTGTACCTCCGCATCCTCCCTTCCTGGCCGCCAGAGGGCCAAGGGACCCTGAGCCATGTCACCCTCCCAACACCAAACTTTTGGTAGGCGCCTAAGCGTCTCGAAGTAGCCAGAATGCCATTGGTCAGGACTCTTGGACAGGTGATCCGGAAGCATAGGACACCCGGGGGTACCCCACTCCTCTTTCGGCCCCGCCCCTCTTCGTCGGCCCCGCCTTCCTGATGTGGCCCTTCCCCCAGTGGGCGGGGCTCGCCGCTACAGCCGGGTAGGCGTGCGGGGCTTTCCGCGCGGTCCTAGCGCCCACCATCGCGCGCGTCCTACTTCTCAGTCCAGGACTAGTGCTCCTCGCCTGCCCTCTGCTGCCCCGTGCCAGCGACTCCCCTCTGCGCCATGCGGCACGCGCCCCCGCTGGTCCTCCTCTCCTTGCTTGCCCTGTGCGGGCGCGGTGAGTCCTTCCGGGGAGGAGGGGGTCGCGGCGGCTGAGCAGGGCTGACAGGGAGCTGTGGTGACTTTGGACAGGGTCCCGGCCGAATGAGATTGAGGATGAGGGAACGAGCCCGCTATCTGCGATGTTTGAGGGGACAGGATGGGGGCGCTGCAAGGTTGGGGCGACAGACCAGGGATCTGGTTGGGGGACCCGCCCGGGTGTCTGCAAGGTTTGGGGGATGGGCCCGAGGCTCTGTGAGGTTGGGGAGATGGACCCGGAGATCTGTGAAATTTGGAGGGACATGTCGTGGGGGGCGGGTACTGGGAGACGTCTTTGGGACTCATGAGGTGACTTCCTTGGAGAGTGAGCACACCCAGCTGGTCCCTGTCCTGGGCCAAGCTACTCTGTGTCAGGTGTCCACCAGTACCCTGGTCAGCGCTGGCGAGACTCCGCAGGAGGAGGGGCTACCTTAGCCCGCCAGCGCAGGAGGCTCCTGCATTTTAGGGTTGGATCTCCCAAGAAACACATTTTATGTCACCCTACCTCAGGTCCTCAATCCTGGACAGCCATGTCCAGGACTGGACCTGGCAGTCGGCCTTCACACTAGTGAGGACTTGCTGGGGTCGCAGTGGTCCCACCAGCTCCTGTTCACTGGCCCATGCTTGTTGCCTGGGCCCATCAGTTTAGGGACCCAGCTGCTTCTGGCCCTGGCACAGGAGGTGCTGGGAATTGTGAAATTCCTAGAGGGACGTAGCCTCGAGCAGGAATGGCTCTGCCACCACTTGCTGGAGGCCCTGTACCCTGTCCTTCCCTTCCCTGAGCCTCAGTTTTCCCTCTGTTCTGTGGAAATATACACTCTGCCTGTTAGCTGCAACCCTTGTGGGGACAAGTGGCAGTGTGTTAAGTGTGACTGGTGGGGCTGCAGCCCACACCACCCATGCAGGTTCCCAGGCCCCACTCTAGGCTCCAGGCCTGAGTCTGTGGAAATGGAGTCTGGTGTCTGCTTTTACACCTCCAGATAGTTCATCCCTAGAACAGAGAAGCATTGATGTGACAGGGATCTCCTTGTAAAAGATAAGATCTCCACTTTTTTAACACTCACTGCTACCTTTTTCATAAATGTCAATTCCCTGTGCCCTCAAACACAGCACCCTGCAATCAGGTGTCCACTGGCCGGTGGGATTCCGTTGATGGTTACTTTCTGCAGTCCTGTTCCACAACTATAGATGTGTCATTGCATGTTTGGGTCGGACATGCTTCTTCAGATCAGGAGCACATGGTTTAGGATTCCCTTGTGGTTGCCTCTCAAGATTGTTAACTTTCTCCATAGAACCTCGATCCACGAAAAGCTGAGGACCAGAGTAGGCCCCTCTCCTCATCCAAATCACTGGGTCATGGCTGACCCCTGGTGGCAGTTTCTCTGCCTAACTTCTCAAGCCTGAGCTCAGATCTCCCGGATGAGATGAGATTCTCAATTAGGAGTCTTTACTGTTCTGGGCCATCCCACAGGGTCAGTGGAGGTGAAAAAGACCTGTCCTTGGTCTTTGGAGCCTGGCAAGCCTCACGGAGTTAGACTGCCAGTTGGGAAGCTGGAACACGTGCCATTCTGGGGCCCCTCTTCCACTTCGGGCAGCAGCCCTGCTGGACAGTCCTACCTCTGGGGACCCACCTACCACTTCCAAGGGACAGGGAGGGCCTCTGCCTGAAAGAGGTTCCTGGACCTGGCCAGCTGACTTACTGGGAGTCCTAAAATATCCCCTTCTTTCTTAAGTCTCAGTTTCTCCAGCTGAGTTATAAAAGGTTGAAGAGATGACCTCCAACTCTGGGGAGTCCTCCAGATGGTGAGGATCCCTTGGAACAGCTTGATATCTAAGAGGAGGGGAACAAAGGGGAGCAAGAGGAACACATCAGGATGTCTGGAGCTAGTCACAAACCCCCACAGCCTGCAAGGCACCCTGGATTGTGGAGAACCCAGTGGACCCAGCATTCCCTTGGGATTCAGCCTCCCCCTGACTCCAGAACCACCCTGGACAAAGTGGGTACATGTGGGCAGGCTTAGCCTTCTCTAGGGGACCAGGGATCAGCCCAAATAGAGATGTCTATGCAGGGCTGTGGGGAGACCAGGTGCAACCCAGGTGTCCAAGCAGCCATGCAAGAGGTGATCCCAGTTTTTTGTGTTCAGAATCTGGGCCAGGCAACTGCAGGAACCCTATGGAGAGCCTGGGCAGGTGGGGGAGGACACTGGGCAGCAGGTGCATGGAGAGCGTCTTTACCAGGCTCTAAATATTGCATCTGCTCCAGATGGGCAGCGAGTTGGAAAGTGCAGGATGGCGGCTGCTCCCATGGCTATGTGTCCAGCCGAGCACGCACCCAGGAGCCACCACAGTCATGTATCCTGGGTTGCCCTGGGTCCTGGGTGGAAAATGAACAAACATTTCTGAGGGAGGATGGAACCCAATGCCGGGGCAGTGATCCAGGCAGCCCCTGCACAGCATCCCCACCCCCTTCAGCCTCCTCCCAACTGCTCTCCTGTCCCTGTACTGTTTTCTTTGCCTACTCTCATCTTTTCCTGTCCTGCTCTTGTGTCCTTGATGTCCTCCGAGGTCCCTCTTCCCACTCAGCCCACACTACTCCGACAGTGCACATAAACTCAAGGTCTTGAACCTCATCTTTACCTCCCGACACCTGAGGAAAGTGAGAGGTGGGCAGGAGATCTACACTGTTAGGAGCAGTGCTGGGGCTGGGGCTGGGGCTTAGGCTCCTTGCAAGTCCTGACTCTGACTCTAGGCCTCTAAGTTCCAGACCTGTAGTAGCCAGGGGATCATCCCATGTGGGGTTCCAAAGGAAGCTTGTATGCTCTCTGAGAGAAAGAATGGTTTCTGGCACATGGCATGGCGCCTGCACAAGAAAGACACTCAAACATCTGACATCAGTAGCCTGGGCTGGTACAAGCAAGAGAAACAGCACGCCTGGAGGCCAGAAAATGAGACAGCAAAGGCCACCTGGGGGGTAAGGGGGAGGGAGGAGAGGAAATCAGATTGATGGAAATCAGTGCTAGGAACAGAAGGCCTTGAATGCAAACCAAACATTTGGGTTTTAATTCTGCCTTTACCTCTGCACAGTTGCAGATAGGAAAGCATCCTGACCTAGTTCGTGGGAGGAGGACCACCCTGGCACTGTGGGATGCGTGGATGACAGAGGCGAGGGTGGGGAAGTGGGGAGGCCAGCAAGGAGGGGCAAGGAGGTGAGCTAGGGGCTGGCTGTGGGAGTGGTGATGAGCGGACAGACTGAGGCACTTGAACTTGGTGGGTGGAATGGACAACACAGCGATGAACAAATCTTTGACTGGGTGTCTGGGCATTGAGGAGCAGCAGCAGGAGGAGAAGGATAAGGCAGGAGAGACCCTGAGCTCTACTGTAGCTGTGTCCAGTCTTAAACCCCAAGGAGAGGCTGGCCTGTTGCATTCCAGCTGCCTTGGCCACCCCAAATGTGTCCATGACCCTGATTCTCACAGCTGTCCCCTTCACCACCATAGCTGATGAGGGGCCCCTGAGCCTACCTGTGTGATTTGCAGGTAACAGTCGCCTGGCCAACGCCGAAGAGAAGCTGATGGATGACCTGCTGAACAAAACCCGCTATAACAACCTCATCCGCCCCGCCACTAGCTCTTCACAACTGGTCTCCATCAAGCTGCAACTGACCCTGGCCCAGCTCATCAGCGTGGTAGGTGTGGAGGGTGTGGAGAGGCTGGGCCAGGGCTCTGGAGAAGGCCAACGGGTCATTCCCCCCACCCTTCAGCTCTCCACATCTGTATGCAGGGTAGGGATCAGGCAACCAGAGCTTTACTTCTAGCTTTGCCCAGATTTCCCAGCTTGCTCATATTTTATATTTTTTAAAAAATTGTGTGTGTGTACACACACAATTGACACATGATATTCGTATGTATAGGGGTGCAGTGTACATTCAGCACATGCATGCAATGTATCCTGTGCATACTTGATACAGTGTGTCATGGCCACAGGAAGTTAGCTGGCCCATAGAATCTAAAACATGGCATTACTCTGTGCTGGGAACATTGAAAGTCCTATCGGCTATTTTGAAATATTCAGCTAATTGTTTTCAACCACACTCATCCCACCAAGACATATTTCCTCTGCCAACTGCACCCCCGCCCCTGTTACCCATCCTCCCTCCATATCCTTGCCTGGTCCTAGCCACTAGACTTCTGTTCTCTGTGGCATTGATATCTGGTCTTTCTCCATATCTGTAAATTAATGGACTTGCTTCAACTTTAAGGGCCCTGACTTTGCCTCTGAGTTATGAGTCTTTCATCCAGAAATACTCCCTGCGTCTGCGCCCATACAGTTCTCCTTGCCTGGGGATGACCTGACCTTTTGTGCACCCTCACTCCATGGTTTACAGCTGCCTGCAAATCTGTGATCTCAACATCAATTAAAAACTTTGGCAAAAAAAATAAGAATAACAAATGCTTTTGGCATTAACAGATCATCCAGCTAACACAATAAGAATACGTCTGTTATAACAAGAGAGCAGGCCACGCTTTCAAGGGTGGCAGAACTCTAGGTGGAAGTTGCAGATCTTGCCATGTGCCTGTCCTCACCATCCTACCCCTGAAGCAGCTCCTCGGGGGTCATGTGGGGCGGGCACAGCTTCTTTAGCAGCACCATTAGTCTTGCACAAACCTGGCTCTCAAAGTTACAGTGCTCTAGAAGGAGTAAGAACTGGCTTCCTCCCGGGCGAGGGCGCCTAGCCTAGGACTGTGGAGTGTGGGCTGGACAGCCCTGTGCTTTGTCCCTCTGCCTCCTTCCTGTGTGCAGATTTGTGGTCACAGAACTCCAGACTGGTCCGTGCCAGGTGATGTCTGAGTGTGGCTGCCCCATATGGGCATTTAGGGATGAGTGCTGGGTGCTGCAGCCCAGCTCCTGCCCAGGGGAGAGAGAACAGCAGGCAGCTTGGCCACAGCTGCTCTGTGGGCCCTATAGAGGCTGCCAGAGGAGAAGAGAGATGGCCTTGGCCCTGCCCCTGCGGGTGCCGCTAAAAGTGGTCACATTCCCTAAAGCCTGTCTGTAAAGCAAGTGTCCATCTTAAGCATGGGGCTTCTTTCCATTTTCCACGTTTTATTTGTTTTTTTAAAGAGAGCATTAGAGGTACAGCACCCTAGTGATGGGAGTTTCTAGGGAACAAGCAAAGAGTTGACACTGGCTGAGATACATGGACCTTCCAAAGTGAGCCTTGGGATGGGAGCAGGGTCCCTCAGGCCCTTGGGCAGTCAGAGAAGTGGCAGTGTGAGGGGCAGTGTCCAGACACAGGCAACCTTTGGGGACTGAAGGCTCCATGCCTGAAAGGAGCCAAGTTACAATGGTAATGCATATTTTAGACCCCTCAAAGGGTGCACCCAAGACCTGCATGGCTCAAATTGCAAAATTGAGTGATGCTTTTAATCTGGTACAAGAAAAAAAAACCTGCAAATCTAGAATTAGACAAGGATTTTGAAGGTCGCTTTCAAAAATGAAGGTGAAGTATAGATGTTTTCAAATAAACAAAAATATAGGTAACATCAGAAGATCCAATATTAAAGGTTGTTCTTTTGCCATTCGGAAAATGATCCCAGATTATAAAGAGGATAAATGGACAGGTGGATTGTGCTGATATCAACATTGTAAAATAGTAAAAATGTCTTTCAAGATTTTAATTGCATTACATGTAGGATTCAACTCATGACAATCATAGCCCCAAAAGTCAGGGGGTGGACCATTCTGCAGTCTTTGCTTGTTCTGGAAGTGGTGAAACTACTGATTTATATTGGGTTCTAAAAAGCCCAATGTGTACACAGCAGTCTAGGGCGGCTACAGAAGGAAGAGACATGCAGACATGAGAAGAAATGGAATAACAAACAATAAAACAAGTAGAGAAAATAGAATACAGTACACAGAAAACAAACAGGTGGTAGGTTTAAACCCAAATACAAATTCTTCTTGGCCTGAGTTAGGATTGTTGTCTACATAGACGCACTGCGTATCAGAAATACTATAAGTCAAAGATGTGTTTTCCACTTGGATAAATCCATTGTAAAGTGAGAAAAGTCACAAGTTGAACCATTCTAAATCAGGGACTGCCAGTAGGTCAGTAGCTGCATTCAATGTAAATGGCCTAAATAATCAAAATGAGAACACTGGCACACATCCCTATATGTGCACGTGTGTGTGTGGGCATGCACGCGCATACACGTGCACACACACACACACAGAGTTGATGACCCTGCTCCAGTGGCCTGAGATGTGGATGTTATGATTGGATCCCCAGTAGCTACCCTGAGCAACACAGATGAGGGCCTTGCCCTAAGCATGAGAGAGGTGGAAGCTGGAAGGAACCCAGACACCTTTGGGTTTCTCAGTAGAACCACCATTGTCTGTCCCAAATATTACACTAGAAGGATACAGACTTCTCGAGAAGTTCTTGGCAGCTAGCATTTGTCCTCCTGTAGCCCTTATCTAGCTGAGGGATCAGGACAGGTTCCTGAAAGAAGTATCCACCAGGCTGAAGTTGGGACGTTGCACATGACCTTGATGAGAGGAGGCAGGAGAAAGGGCGCAGGATGTATGCACAGGAAGGGGAGATAAGGCTAGCATAGAGTGACAGGATGTTACAATTGGCTTGGATCTGTAGAGGAATCATATCGAGATCCTGTGTGTGAAGGTAACCCAGAAGGAATGAGATGGAGAAGGGAATGGCAGAGTGTTGGGAAAGTCCTCCTGGCTGGAAGAATAAAGAGATGTGTGCCCATGCAGTTGTTTATGTGTGCCTATATGCATGTGGGTGGTGTGCCCATGTGTGTGAGTGTGCATGCATGTGTATGTGTGCACATGTGTGCTGTGTATGCCTGTGTGTAATCAGTGTGCATTGCATGTGTACATGTGTGTACGTGCATGCATGTGTGTGTAATATGTACGTGGTGTGTGTGTGTGTGTGTGTGTGTGTGTGTGTGCGTGCAGTGATGGTGTACGAAGTGGAAATAGGCCAGTGCAGAGGTCTGGTGTGGTCCAGGTGACAGGCAGATGTGTGTGGCCTGGATCCCGAGCCTCAGGCCTGTATGCATCCTGAACACGGCCATGAAGTATCTGACACGTTCTAGGCACTCTTCATGATGTCATCCTTGCTTGCAGTCTTTGGATTCTCATGGAAGGTGATGTTAATACATAAAAAGACAGATGTTGGCTAGTGGCAGCAATCACTATAAAGACAGACCGGGTGTGATAAGAGGGCGGAGGGGGGCTATTTTATGTAGGAAGAGAAGGAAGTTTCTCCAATAAGGGAATGATTTTGACATCTGAAGACAATGAGGAGGTTGTGTGTGTGGGTTTCCAGGAATGGAGCAGGGGTCACTGTAGCCACTGTGGGAGAGTGCATGGAAGCAGGGTGAAGTGCAAGCTCATGGAGCTCCTGCAGTACGGGGGCAGGTGAGCAGGGCCTTAGACCCTAGGTTGGACTTCACATATGCTGGGGAGGCAGGGGCTTTGGAGTAGAGCCCCATGGTCCGCATTGAGATTCCAGAGACCACCCTAGTGGCCATGTAAAGACATGTAATGACTGAAGTGACCTGGGCAGACCCAGGACCAGTTACAATGTGGCAGAGTGGTCCAGGTGACAGATGTTGATGGCAGTGAAGATGGAGAGAAGCCAACAGAGTTGAGGAGCGAGTAGGGTCAGTCAATGTTCTCACTGGATCAGAGGCCACTCCTAGGCTTTCAGCTCGCTGCACAGGATGACGGTGCCTTGTGTGATGCCAACAGGGCCGGGCTTGGGGAAGACTGGGAGATTTGCCTCTGCATCCTGACTGTGAAATGCCTTTGAGCCACCTAAGAGATCTTGGGGTGACACCCAGTCACACTAGCTGAGAGCCTTTTTTGGGATAGAGTTTGGTTCATCTGTATCGCTCTTCATCACCTCCTCTCCTTCCTCAGAATGAGCGAGAGCAGATCATGACCACCAATGTCTGGCTGAAGCAGGTAAGTGCCCTTCAGGGTTCCTGGCCCAGGTGGTGACTTCTGGGCCAGTCTGCGGTGGTGACAGACCTATGAGTGACAACAGCCTTGCTGTGTGCTCAGTGCTGGACTGACTACCGCCTGGCCTGGAACAGCTCCCGCTATGAGGGTGTGAACATCCTGAGGCTCCCGGCCAAGCGCATCTGGTTGCCAGACATCGTGCTCTACAACAAGTGAGTCACTGTAGCGGGGGCGGGGTCCTGGATGGCAGCCATGGCTGCAGGTCTCGCCTTGCAGGACACTGAGGTCTCTTCTTCCAGCCCTGTACCTTTTTGGTGCTTCTGGCTTCCAGGAATCAGACTGGAAGAAGAGCAGAGCTGAGAGCCAGACTCAGCTGAGACTGGAAGCTGGAGGCCCAGCAAGGAGAGGACCCTAATCCAGCTGTGCCTTTCTTCTGTGGTCTTTCGGAGCCTTAGTCAGTGTTGACTAGCATTGCCTTTCTATGTGCAAAGAGGTAGTCTAGGTGTAATTGCATGCATCTGCAGTTCCAGCTACTCAGGAGGCTGAGGCAAAAGATTTTCTTGAAATCAGCTTGGGCAGTATAGCCAGGTTTCATCTCAAAAAATACATAGGTAGGTGGAAAGAGCTAGAGAGATTCTCCTTGGTTTATAATTATACCAACAATAGCATGAAACAATTAAAAGTACGTAGATGAAGCTGGACATTGGGGCATGAATGCCTGTGGTCCTGGCTAGGGAGCCTGCGGCAGCCAGAAGTTCAGCCTGGGCAACTCAGCAAGACTGTGTCTCAGACAAGCATAAGTATGTAAGTGAAGGACTGACAGACTTGAATTTAAATCTCAACTGCACTACTTTATTACTTTCTGATCTTGAAAGAAGTAATTTAACTTCTCTGAGCTTGGTTTTTCCATCTGTAAGATGAGGACAATAACAAGATGCACAACATTGGACTATGGGAAGGCTTAAAGGAACTGTTCCCTATAAAGTCTCAAATTGTCACGTGGTAAGGCCGTCTCCACCACCAGACACCGAGCAAAGCCAGCCTGCTTCATAGGGGAGGGTGGATGTCGATGGGTGGTTAGAGGAAATAATTCCTGGGGATGTGGTGGGGAGCCTCATCAGTGGGTTTCATAATGCTCTCTCCTACGCCCCATCCCTATCCAGTGCCGATGGAACCTATGAAGTGTCTGTCTACACCAATGTGGTGCTCCGCTCCAACGGCAGCATTGAGTGGCTGCCCCCTGCCATCTACAAGAGTGCCTGCAAGATTGAGGTCAGGCACTTCCCCTTTGACCAGCAGAACTGCACCCTCAAGTTCCGCTCCTGGACCTACGACCACACAGAGATCGACATGGTCCTGATGTCGCCCACGGCCATCATGGATGACTTCACGCCCAGTGGCGAGTGGGACATTGTGGCCCTCCCTGGTCGGCGGGTGGTGGACCCCCTGGACCCCAGCTATGTGGACATCACCTATGACTTCATCATCCGGCGCAAGCCGCTCTTCTACACCATCAACCTCATCGTGCCCTGTGTGCTCATCACCTCTCTGGCCATCCTGGTCTTCTACCTGCCATCCGACTGTGGTGAGAAGATGACGCTGTGCATCTCCGTGCTGCTGGCCCTCACCTTCTTCCTGCTGCTCATCTCCAAGATTGTGCCACCCACCTCACTCGATGTGCCCCTCATCGGCAAGTACCTCATGTTCACCATGGTACTGGTCACCTTCTCCATTGTCACCACGGTGTGCGTGCTCAATGTGCACCACCGCTCGCCCAGCACGCACACCATGGCGCCCTGGGTCAAGCGCTGCTTCCTGTACAAGCTACCCACCTTCCTCTTCATGAGGCGCCTGGGCCTAGACAGCAGCCTGGCCGAGGCTCCCCAACCCGGCCAGCCACACCAAACTAGGACAGAGGCTGTTGCTGGCTCCACTAACCTCTACAGCAACTCCATGTACTTTGTGAATCGTAGTCCGGCTGCACCCAAGTCCCTAGCCGGCTCACACACCACGGATGTTGCCAAGGATTTCTGGCCGATGTCCTCTGGGAGGTGTGGGCAAGATGTTCGTGAGGCATTGGAGGGGGTCAGCTTCATTGCCCAGCACATGGAGAGCGACGATCGGGACCAGAGTGTAAGTGGCAAGCCCAGCCTCACCTCCCTGCTCGGGGAAGGGGCTCAGCCTGTACGTCTCCCTTTCCTGCAGTTAGTTCATAGGTACTGAGTCTCACACTCAGCCAGCAAAGGACCCACAGCTGTAATGCATTTTCCTGTAGCTTCAGGGAAGGGGAGGGAGGAGGAAGTAGTCTTTTTGTGCTCTGGGTTCTCCCGAAGCAGACTTGGGTTTAGGGCTGGTAGTTTGAGAGGTGACCATAGGGTGTACGTGTGACATGAGGACGGGAAGTAAGCCCTGTACTGTGTCCACAGGACACCACTGGAGGCCCCACACTGGCAGTGGAGATCCTCAGAGCCCATGAGGACCAGCATCAAGACCCTTGGAGGGACTTGGGGTACTTACCACCAGTGCCTGTTCCCATATGCTGACTGTAGCTAGGGTCGTTAGCATGCCCACACACCTCAGCTTTGCCATTTGCCCAGAGCAGGCAGACTGGGTGCCAGAGAAAGCCCGGGGCAGAGAAGAGGAGAGGAAAGTGGTCCCTGAGGAGACCGTCATGGGCTGAAAGAGAGCTCTGCAGCCTCTCGGGATGTAGGTGGTGGGTGCCACACTAGCTTTCATGGGTGTAGTACCATCGTGTGAAATATTATTGCTAGCAGATAAGAAACAGTGAAGTGGCTGACAAAAAGTATCCTAAAATGAGCTTAAATTCACACTCACAGGGCAAAGCCATAGATAAGTAAGAGTAAAACCAGGTCGGTTTTATACCTGAACACAGGACACAGTAGTCGTGGCTGGAAATCTTCACCCTTGTTTTCATCCCAGACAGAACCAAGTGCTACAGTCATGTGCACTGCCTCACTTCCACACAGACCAGATCAGATCCTCTGGACAGGTTTTGACAGCACAACGCGCGGCCTCCCCTCCCCTTCCAGCTGCATGCAGAAAAAAGGACATTCCCTCATTCTTGTCTTTTCTGCTGTGCCATCACCAGCTGTACTCTCAAGGGAAAGCTCTGGTCATCTGTTAGTTAGCACAGCTGGAAAAACACAGGCCGGGAAAACTCCACGTCCCACAGAGCAAGGAGAGAACCGTGAACAGAAGGAATCTAGGGCATGAGGTTTTCATCCACGCTCCCACTGCTGAGGGTGTAGACATTGGGCCAGCAGCGTTGCACCGCCTGTGGCTTTCTAGAAGCCTGAACTCTCAGGCCCACCCCAAACCCCTGACGGAACCCAAAGGAGCCCTCTAGGTGTACCCCAGATAATAGGAGCTCTGGGCACTATTAGGTTGAGAAGCAGCTACATAGGATTTCACCTTCTGAAAAGTTGATTTGGTTGTGCTCTTCTTTTTCTCCTTGTACTGGGAACTGAGCCCAGGGCCTTTTCACTGAGCTACATCCCCAGATGTTTTTAATTTCTTTTATTTTGAGACAGGCCCAGGCTGGGCTCTAATTTGTGCTCCTCCTGCCTCAGCCTTCTAGAATGCTGGGATTACAGGCGTGTACCATCACACCTGGCTTGATCATGCTCTTCTTTAGTTGAAAATCAGATGGGACTTTAACATTACCTAATCCATTGGCCCCCAAACATTAAAGGGCATACTGGTACCCTGCTGGCTAACTCAGAACCACAGAAACACCTTCAAGGCAGCCTACTGGGCTGTGCCAGCACCTCAGGGGAAGTGTCTTGGAGACGCGTTTCTAACTGGATCCCTGGCGACACACGTGCACAAGCCAGTCTGAAAAGCACTGGCCCCACACCCTGGCGGAGCAGGCACCCATCATGAGCACTCTCTTCTAGAGGTCTCTACAGCCCCAAGCTTGACTCATTTTAGCCTCTGAGGAAGGAGCCTGGCAGGATGCAACCCTGAGAGCCAGAAGCAGCTATATAGCTCCAAATTAGCACCAGGCGCTCTGCCAGAAGTAGACGTTGCCTCACTTCTAATCCCCTAGAAGCCGCATTTACAGTGTGTTTGGGAGATATTTCTTGAAGGGGTCACACAACTGGTACCCAGCAGAGCCAGGCTGTACACCAGGTATTCCCATCATCATTAGTCTCTCTCAGGCTGGCCCTGAACTGAGCACACTGGCTGACAGACATCTTCTATGTCCTTAAAGAAGTCCGTCCCCCATGGGGCATAGGACCCACCCATCAGGGCCAGGCACTATTCCTCATCTCTAACACCTTCCCCCTCCCTGGTGAATAACTGATTACTGTAAATAGAAGTATAAAAAGAGGGGGAAACCACACAGGCAAGCCATTTGGAAGTAAAGCTGTCAAGAAGAGACCTGGGCAAGCCAGGCATGGTTGAGGAAAGCACTCTGAAGTGCTGCCACCTCTCAGGGATGGGTGCCTGACGTGTTTGGTGGGGTGTTGAGGGGTGGTTTGACACAGGACTGTCCTGTAGGGTAGACACGCACCAGGGAGGGGGCCTTGAAAAATCAGGTTACTGATGTCAGCCTGCACGTGCTGCCCTCATTTCCAGCTCCAGAGCTGCTGGAGAGCCTTGTAGGCCAGAGGTTGGTGAGCTCAGGCTCTGCACTTGGCCTCTCTGGGCATCGCCCCCTAGGCTAAGGATGGATGCAGGCACATCTATAGCGACACCTCTGCAAGCCAGCTGCATTTCAGCCAAGACCACACCTCATAGAAGGACCTGAGAGGAAAACAGAGAGAGAGGAAGAGAGAGAGAAACAGAGAGATGGGGGAGGGGCAGATAAAGCCAGATGATGAGGCTGGAGGATGCTGAGCCTTAATTATAGGAAACAGCAGGCACTGCTGTGAACAGAATTGCACAAATCAAAGAGCACCATCTCCAAGTGGTTATGCAAGCACCCAGTGCCCAGCCTAGTAAATAGGGAGACCCCAAATCTTCCTCTGCATAGAGTGGGCTGGTGCCAAAAATGGGAGGAAGGGGCCTTGCATTCCTCAGGCTCATCCTGCTTTATTTGTAGACAAATTGGGCTTTTGAAATCCCAAATTGGTGGTATAAGCAGTCCTCTATCTTCTGGTTCTACATCCGTGGATTCAATTGTGTGTTCAAAATATTCAGAAAAATAGCCTGTATTGATTGTATGCAGGCCCTTTGCTTGTTATTCCTTAAACAATGCAGCATAGCAACTATTTAGTCAGCATCTATGGTGTACCAGGTGTCCTAAGTATTTAGAGAGAATCAGAGTACACGTGAGGGTATATGGGTTATGTGCATATAGTATCACCGTCTGTGTGAAGGACCTGAGTATCGTTGGATTTTGGGGACCCACAGGATCAGAAGGACTATGGGTTCATGAGCCCTTCCAGTCCTAGGTTTCCTGTGTAGGTTAAACTCCTGGTGGCTCTTGGGTGGGGTCCAGAGGGGCACAGAGTTGCCAACTGAGGCCAGGCTAGGATATGGGATTTGCCTCACTGGTGCACGGTTCAAGCCCATACATAGCTGCTAGGGCCCCCGCCCAAATGCCAAGGGCCAGGTCAGGGAGGGCAGGATCCCAATGCAGCACTGATAATCAGTTCCTCTCTCTATCTGCAGGTCATCGAGGACTGGAAGTACGTGGCCATGGTGGTGGACCGGCTGTTCCTGTGGGTGTTTGTGTTTGTGTGCGTCCTGGGCACCGTGGGGCTCTTCCTGCCTCCCTTCTTCCAGACCCACACGCCTTCTGAGGGGCCATAGGCTCCCCGCCCAGCATGTCCAGGACCCCCTCAGTGGTGGGGTTGATGACATGTGCTACCAGGTGGTCAGAGTGCTGCTGATCCTGGGTCACAGCTGATGAGCTAAATGGCTATGCCACCATTGGCAAGTGACCCCATCAAACCAGCCATGGCCTCAAGAGGCCCAGGCAGGGGCCTGCACTGTCCTCTCCAAATGCCTTAGATTGAGCCCTAGTGGGAGGGAGGCTTCAGACAGGTGAATTCCTCCCATGCCAGACCTGGGGCGATGTGAACATACAGCAGCCCTACTATGTGCATACTGGAAGCACCTACTACATGCCAGTCTTCTCCCTTCACCCAGCCTTCCTCCACCCCTTCACTGGGCTCTCTGCCTCCCTTTCAGCTTTTCCCTTTGCACCTGCCGTTCCTGTTCCCCAACCTCCCCGTGCCTGTGCTGGCCATGGTCTCTCTTCCACAGCTGCATTGGTCAGGGCTGGCTCCTGTGGTCCTCTGCTCCAACCTCACCTCCTCCTAGAGGTCTTCCCGGATCCCCCAGCCCAAAGCAGCATCTCTCTCCCATGACAGTGTCACAGCCTCAAGCCCCTCAGTACCAGCAGTCCTTATCTGGTGGTTCTCTTGCCACCCACATCTCACCCCTGGAGTGTGTGCTACAGAGAGCAGGGGCCCATGACAAGGCCTGGAAGGCAGCAGGTGCAAAATAAATGTATGTTACAAGAACAGATGGCTCCTACTCCTCCTTCAAGCTCCGCACCCTCCTCTGTCCCCAGCCGACCCTGGAAGGAGTGGCTGCCTCCTCTGGGTCTTCAAAGCTCTGGCCACTTTCTGCTCATCCATCAGCTCAGCTCAAGTCTGTCACCCCCTGCCACACAAATCAGTTTCTCCTACACATGATGTGTCACACAGCACCTGGCACAACACAGGCGCTTAGAAAACGGTGGGATGGAGAAGAACCTTTTAAAGAATTCTTTTTTAAAGAATTATCACAATAAAATTGACTTTTTAGTGTATAATTCTCTGAATTTAACACAGGTGCAGACTTGTGTGGCCACCAGCACATCAGAACCCAGAGGAGATCCATGCCCCAAAACTTCCCCTACCGCTCCTTCTCCAAGCCCTGGGCCAAGCACTTCTTGCTCTCCATCGCCGCCGTAGCGCAGGTCTTCCAGATGGCCACGCAGTGGAACCTTACAGTGCGCGACCTTTGGAGCCTGCCTTCTTCCCTCATCCCAACGCTTTTTAGATTCACCAGGTTCACCCAGATTGCCTAAAGAATCCAAAGTGTGGCATTTGGTGCTCTGGGCAGTGTTGCCTTCCAATTTGGGGTAACTGTGAATAGGCTAAAAAAATTTCACATACAGGACTGATATGAACAAAAATGTCTATCTCTCTACATAAACACTCAGCATGTGATCACTGGCTTATATGGTCAGAGTGGGTGGGTATCCTTTTACAATGGCATCCAGAAGCCTGAGCGGTCTTGTCCCTCTGACACTTTATGTACACTCCGCATCAACAACATCTGTTTTATCTCAGCCATCCTGAGTGTGACAGGCCACAGCCTCCACGAGTTCATCTGGTTTTGTTTCCCTGGTGTTTAGGAACATTTTTTTCCTTTTGCCTTTCTCTTTGGTGAAGTATCTTAACCGCATTTGAGCATTTTAAAAACTGAGCTGTAGTTTTCTTATTGCTGAATTTTCTAAAAAGTATTATTGATGTATAAACTATATATCACAATTCAGACATTTTATTGTGCATGATCCAATGTGATTTGGAAAGAACCATCATAGTCCAGGGTTAGGATACTTGAGCCACCTCCCAGGATAACTCCATACCCAGCTATACCAGCTACCTTTTGGGGGGTTCTTTATATATTCTGGATACAGGTCCTTGGTGAACAATGTGATTTGCCAAATTTTCCAAATGAAAGAAATTTTGCCAGGAGAATAAGCACTGCAGCCCAAGACAAAGAGATGCTGGGTGATATGTATGTCATAATTGTTCAGCTACCCAGCCCAGCCCCTGACACTGCCTACAGGGAAGTAGCAATTACGATTAGCGACACCGCCGGATAAGAAAGCTAAGTGTGTAACAAGCCACCCAGATCCCCACCCGTTTCCAGATGGAGACACTGAACCCAGATATCCCCCATCATCATCAGCCACATGCGTCCGCCGTGGGCGTGTCACTGGTCATTCCCTACACAATACGGGCTTTGGGCTCAGATTCCCACAGGACAGAAGGGATTGCTTTCTCTGTCATGAAAAACACCAGGTGAACTCTATTGTCCTGGCGGCAGGTGTTTTGGTTTAAAAGGTAAGTAGCCCTTCCGGGGTGCAGAAAGTTTTGCCCACTTGTGGGAACAGTGTCTATTTCCTCCCACAGACATTAGAAAGCCTTCAGGTGCCCGGAGACCCCAGGGTTGCAGACAGCAGCGAGCAGAGGGCACCTAGCAGGGTCACCGGGCGTCAGGTCTCTTCTGATTGCTTCAAGCCTACCATTAAGTTCTTTTTCTTTAGTTCTACTTCTTAGTAAAGAGCATTTCAAATATATTCTAAAGTGGAGAGAACGCTGGAACGTAGCCACCGTTCTGAGCTGGGGTCACCGCGTCACCACTGTGACTCCAGCCCAACTGCCCCTCCCTGAATATACGATTTAAAAATAAGCAGGAACCTGTGTCACCCCAAAGGACCACCACTGCTAAAGAGCATTACCCAGGGTCCCAGCCCGTGGGAGCCTTGCGGGACTCGGGGACACAGGGAACTTTGAGGGGGGTCGTCCGGGGGCACGCAGGAGGGGGAAGCTGGACCCCCGGAGAGCCCCGCCCACACCGCCAGTCCGCTTCAGCCCCGCCCACAGCGCCCACCGCAAGCCCCGCCCCCGCGCGCGCCCACGCCCCGCCCTCCCCAAGGCTGGCTGCGCCTGGGCTCCTGCTGTGCGCACCCGGGTGGAGCGCGGCGGGCCAGGCGGGTCCCCTCTGTCCGCACGATCCCCGCGTCCGCGCCATGGGCGTCCGCCCGTCGTCGTCGCCGCCGCCACAGCCCGCGTTGCTTCTGCTTCTGCTGCTGCTGCAGCCGCAGCCGCTGCCAGGTACCGCGAGGGCCAGGGACGCAGATTGGAACGCCGGGCTTGGGGTCCGGCGGGCGCACCCTCTTCCTTCCCGTCACTCCCCTCCCCAGGTCCCGACAGGGGAGCGGGCGTCTTGGATCTCCTTGGAACGGGACTGGGCCGCCTCTTCTTCCCGCCCACTTCACAGCTGGGGACTAAGGGGACTTGTCCCAACCCCTGGGGAGCAATGGTGGCCCCCTGCCCCCCCGCCCCGCCAGGTTTCGGGTGACCTGGGGTGTGTCAGAGTGGCTCGGAGTGGCCCTAGTGACCTAGGTGGCCCCAGAGTAGCCAGTGGACGCCAAGGGACGCAGGTCTGCGGGCGCTGTCCTCACCCTCGGTGCAGACCCCCGCAACAGAGCCTCTGCGCCCCCTCTTCCTGGGAGCGGGGTGGGAGTCACGAGCTAGCGAGCCCTGCAGGACCGTTCGCTCCTCGGGCCCCGTCGTCCCTTGGTCCCATCTGCTGAGAGGCGCAGCCCTGGCTGGGAACAAAGGGTCGCGGGCTCCTGAGGGAGGGCTCGGTCAGGTGACGTCGACAGCAGAGACTGGGCTCTGGCACTAGAGAGGCTGAAGGCTGAGCCGGTGCAGACCCAACGTGAACAAGGGCGCCCGGTCCCGAGCTTCAGTCTAGGCAGGGACCCGGGGTGACTTGGGTCGGTGGGATCCGTCAGTCTTTCCTTCCGACCCGGGAGCAGAGAGCACTACGCCCCCTGTGGTGACGCACTGCGAGGGTCGCCGAGGCGTACCAGGCCCGTGAGCTGGCGCTGGTGCAGCCCTCGAGGCAGGTGTGTTCGTGAACTACTTGACGGCCACCAAAGCTGGAGCTCGGCCAAACGCAGACTCGCCGAGCTCGCGCAGCTCCCGGGCGGCAGAATTCGTGTAGTGCTCCAGCGTCAGAACCTAGGCTGTTATTCTGAGCGCTCGCCTCCTGGCAGAATCAGGGGTCTCAGTTTCCCCGTCTGTAGCTTGAGGAGTGGAGATGCCCTTGAAGGAGAGGCAGGGAGCAGTCTCCTAGGGCTGACCCGGCTGCTTACCTCTCCAGTGGCCCGCGCCTCGGAGGCCGAGCACCGCCTATTCGAACACCTGTTCGAGGACTACAACGAAATCATCCGGCCCGTGGCTAACGTGTCCAAACCGGTCATCGTACAGTTCGAAGTGTCCATGTCCCAGCTAGTGAAAGTGGTGAGTGCGGGACTGGCTTCGGGCTCAGGGTCTCTCCTGGACCAACTTGGCCATGTGGGGCATCTGTCTGCTTCCGTCTCTCTCCAGGACGAAGTGAACCAGATTATGGAGACCAACCTGTGGCTCAAGCAGGTGAGCGGCTGCTCAGCAACTTCTGCCCCCTGGCGGCCACTGAGTGATGTGCTGGTGGGAATCAAATTGGGCCAAGCGCTGGGTGTCCTTGGGGGAGGGGGTACTGGAGGGGTTAGGGGTAAGGAGAGGTGGTGTCGCCCTCTACTCGGCAGTCATCTGCCCTCCCATCCCGGTCACAGATGGGCGGTCTGTGGCCGGGAAGCCCTCTCCACAGTCACGCTAGGACATGGGACAACTTGGCCTGGAGCCGTGGCCCCGGCTTCTTTCCTTAGAATCAGACTGTAGAGGTGGAGACTGGGACTCTGAATTTTCTTGTTCAACATAAGACCTCCACGTGTCTACCCTGGAAGGCTTCTGCCTCCAGAAACACAGTGACTCAAGCCTGCTGGTAAACTTTCCTCAGCTCCCACAGACTTGTCCCCAGGAGACCATCAAAGACAAGCCCTGTCTCCATCCTCCCATAATGCTCAGTGACATCCACCTCACCTCTGTCCCCTCCAGTGCTTTGCAGTCACTCCTTGTGGGCTCCTGGCTCTGCCTGGCTGGAGGGCCCCTTGCTATCAGGACCTGCTTGGGAACTTGGGCCCAGACCTGGTGCCGATGTCTGAGAGTGGCACCTGGCTCTAGAAGTGGCCAGAGAAAGCCTTGTAACAGTCCTGATTGCTGGGCTCCCGAGAGCAGGAGGGACCTGCAGGCTCAACCTCCTGCTGTCTGCTGTTGCAGCCGAAAGGTGGCCCAGTGATCTGCAATGGGGTGGGATGTGGCTGGGCTGGACCTCATACTGCCCTCACCCCCAGATCTGGAATGACTATAAGCTGAAGTGGAATCCCTTGGACTATGGCGGCGTGGAGTTCATGCGTGTGCCCACAGAGAAGATCTGGAAGCCCGACATTGTGCTGTACAACAAGTAAGGGGCCTGGGCCCACCCCTTCCTCAGTTCTCCCTGGAGGGCCTGGCTTATGAATGCATTCCACAGGCTTTTTGTGCATCTACTGTATACTGAGGCATGGAGATGCCCCTGAGCCAAAGAGCATGCCATGTACAGAATGGCTCCAGAGGGCATGACATATAAGACACCATTGAAATGACACTGAAATGGGTCTCAAAGGCCACTCAGGGTCTGGAGCACAGAGCTGGAGTTGGGCCACCCAGGGAGGGAGGGGAGTGTGAGAGACACCCAGGGTGACCTCACTGTGTGAGAGTCAAGGGTGAGGGTGGGGACGCCAATGCAGTACCTGTCACCCACTCTGTGTCAACAGATGGGATGAGGTGAGCAGCTCCCTCATCTCTTGGGAAGGAAGGCAGGTGAGGGAAGGGCAGAGCTGGGATCCTGAATCTTGGACCCTTGCTCCTAGCCGGTGGACCAGCAGTATGGTACCTGTACTTGGGATTCCTTCTCTGTGCTCTTCACTATCTTTTCTAAAGTTAATACACATCACATTATTTTATATTGTGCACATATGTGTATATAAGGTGAGATTAGAAAGAAGCTCTTTAAAAATCCAAGTGCCTGCATTTAAAATATTTTCTTCTGTATTCTTCATTGTGTGTCCTCCCCAGGCCCCACTCCCCTGTATTGGGGATTGAACCCAAGGCCTTCAAACATGGCTCTGCCCAGCCTTTTTTTCTTATTTTGAGACAGGGTCTTGTTAAATTGCTAAATTGTCCAGGCTGAGATTAAACATGCATTCCTCCTGCCTCAGCTTCTCAGAGTATTGTAAACCAAATATTGTAATCCCTTTTCCCATCCTTCTTGAAGTCTGGAAGTTTATATTTGTAATCCCATTGAAACATTATTAGAATCCCAGTAAGTTTCTAGGCTACCATCTCCAGTGCAACCCATGGTAAGAATAAGGAAACTAAGACATATTCATAGTTACAGACAGCCAAGGGATCATAAGTCTGATCCAGATGAGGATTCATGCGACAAAAGCCATGACCCAGTACCTCACCCAGAATCTATTAAATCAAGAAGGGAGTGACTTGAGGATGATGGGAATGGTGGGACAGTGAGAATGATGGGATTTATGTGATTCCATGAGCTGTGCTTAGCTAGGAGCCAGAAGGCACCTCTTCAGTGTGCAGAGAGAAGGCTTTGCAGAAAGACTAGTCTGCATAACTCAACTGAGGTAGCATTTAAATGTTTAGGAGGCTGTTGCTTCAGGTTCTGATATGTAAACTTTTGGGCCCTGGAAAGTCATAGCCTCTCATCTTGAAGAGCAAACCCAGCTGACATTCCTGGAGCTATGTGGCTCTGTCATCCCACTGTGCTCAATTGTTTACAGGGAAACATGAGGCGAGGAAATAGGAAATGGTCAACTGGCTTCAAAGTTTACACATCAGTACCTCAGCTATTTACATTGCTTAGAACCAACTGAAGGAAGAAGGAAATAGCTTAGCCAGCTCTGTATATATCAGTACATGGAGTTAGGGCCTGGTTTAAATAATGCAGATATCATTGTTCTGCATTCAAGGAGAGCTGTCCAAATGGTCTTCCAATTCAGAGTGCTGGGATTACAGGTATGTGCCACCACATCCAGCTTTTCCTTGTCTTAAAATATATATATACATCAGAGTGCTAGGATTACAGGTATGTGCCACCACATCCAGCTCTTCCTTGTCTTAAAATACATACACACACACACACACACACACACACACACACACACACACATACATGGAATTGGTGGGCCGGGGTGGCCCAGAAATGGAGGTTGTGATGGAAGGCCTGTCTTGGGAGTCCCTGCCCAGCCCACTCTCCACCTTGCAAAGCTGAGGACAACCCATAGTAGAAGATGGCCTCACTCTAGGTAGGTGGCAGAACCACTCCTGGGTAGTCTGGCCATCCTCCATGGCCTTCAGATCTTTCATTAGGCAAACAAATATTACCTGTGTTTACAGCCTGTGTTAGCTGGTTTTCCAGGTTTGGAAAGCATTTTCACCATGTTTTATCTCTAGGGTCATAATGTTTTAGCCATTAAAACCAGTTTGGGGCTGGAAATGGAGCTGAGTGCTTGTTTAGCATGTGTCAGACCTGGGTTTGGTCCCCAGAACTAAAAAAAAAAGAAATGACAAAACCCCACCTTTTAGCAAAACAGTTTATAGAGAATTAGCCCAGTCTAATTTTAATGAATAATAACATCCTGTGTTTAGATTTTATGCTGTGTCAGTATCATAGGTTCCCTCAGGTTTTCAGTTAGTATCCTAAGCTGTGATTTTTCCTAATTCCACCTTCGGTTCCCCAGAATATCCAAAATGGGATCTTTAATCACTCTGAAGACAGCCTGTGTTTTATGTATCTTTTCCCTGTGGAAGCACAGAATTTAGAAATGTTTCCTCTGTGCAGTTTGTATTTGTAACCAGGACACAAGATGCATTCAGCTGGGCTGCAGAATTTCCCTTTCATTGTGATTAGCATAGAAACCTCATGGTCTGAAGGCTCTGAGGGAACCGAGTGAAGGGTAGAGTTTCTAAGCTAGAATTCAACGCATGGGCAAAAACTTTAAACTTGTGGTTTGGGTTTTGTAGCTGTTTTCTGGGTGACAATCTTGGAGGAACAGCCGGAGGATATAGGATTTTAGCAATAATGAGAGATGTGGCCAAACACTTCAGATTGAATAGGGAAAGGACCAGGTAGCACAAGGAATTTCTCTGGAACTGAAAGCTGAAAAAAGATTGAGAAAACCACCCAGCCTAAAGCTTCTGTGTAGAACACACCCACCAGGTAGAGACCCCATATCCAGTTTTCTCCTGTACTATTTTATTTTCTGAAGTTTATTCTCTAATAGGGTTCTCAGAGTGTTCATGGATATACATTATACCCTCAATTCTAGCAAACTCAACTCAGTGTGCCTTTTTTATTTTATTTTTTAATGTTGTTATTATTATTATTATTGGAAAGAGGGAAAGTCTTGTAATTAGGCTGGCCTTGAACTCACTATGCAGTTTACCCTGCCCTCAAATTTCTGCCGCTCCTCCTTACCCTCAAGTGCTAGGATTACAGGCAAGGGCCACCATACCCAGCTTTCTTGTGGCCTTTTTAGGGACTGTTTTAGGCTGCTTGGTTAAGTATAAAATCCTCAGCTCCTGTTTTCCTCCAAAGAAAATCTTGTAAACTACTGCCTTGTCTTTTAGAATGAAGTGTTATGAGCTAATGCAAACTACATTTTCTTTCTGTTGTTAAGCAGGGTGACTCTTGAGAGAGAACAGGGACATCATTAACAAGCATGCCAGGACCCCAAATTTAAGCCAGACCTCCCTGGACAAATTAGAATGGGTAATCATCTTATTGTTCTTTTGCTTGGCTACTCAAAGCATTTTTCTTTGTCTCTAAATTTATTTACTTATTGTTTTGCTTACCTATTTATATATTTTTGAGATGAACTCTCACTATGTTGCCCAGGCTGGAGTTGAAGTTGTGAATTTAAGCAATCCTCCTGCCTCAGCCTCTGGAGAAATGGGATCTCAGGTGTGTGCCATCACTTCTTTTTCTTTTTTCTTTTTTAAATAAAACAACTTTATTGAACTAAAAATTTGCATACTGCGCAATGTACAAAATTAAAGTGTAAGGTTCGGTATATTTTTAGCTCCTTGACAGAGTTGTACATCTCCAACCACGATCAAACTTAGGTCATTTTTGTTATCTCAAATCAGAACACTCTACCCTCCACCCAGTTCCCTCAGAATCTCTGGACCATGAGATTTCTATGCCACTCAGAGTAAAGGGAAAATTGTGCAGCCCAGCTGAGTGCATCTCGTGTTCTCGTTACAAGTACAAATTGCACAGAGGAAACATTTCTAAATTCTGTGCTTCCTCAGGGAAAAGGTACATAAAACACCCTCTATCATCTCCCATCATTGAGCTACTCACTATCTTAATCAATTTTCCTATTCTGGAAATACAACTTTTTCAAAATAGAACATGCTCATAACAGTAATAAAGACCTGAACGTATCCAAAGAAATGTAAGTCTTGCAAAGTGAAACTAGAGTCCAACAACAAAAACATACTGAGACTATAATACCTTTATTTCCCCCTCTCTTACATCTTTCCTATTAAATTTTTCATTTAAGAGAAATCATACGATGTTCAAATTTGGTGTCTGGTTTACTTTATTTAACATTATTGTCTCAGGGTGCATCTACTCTCCTACAGCTATGGCAAGTTTATTTTTCTGAACTGCAGAGCAGGAGTTATTGTGCTTCGGTATCACATTTGCTTTGTCCATTTATCTGTAGATGGGCGTTTAGGCCAATTGCAATATTTAGCTATTATGAATTGGGCTGCTATAAACATAAGTACACATATCACTGTGGTGTGATGTTTTTAATTCTTTTGGGAGATACCCAAAAAGGGAATAGGCAAGTCAAGTGGCATCTTCATATTTAGTTTTCTGAGGAATCTCCACACTGATTTCCACAGTGCTTGTATCAGTTTACAGTCCCACCAACAATGAAGGAAGCTTCCTTTTTCCCCACAGCTTTTCCAGTATTTGTTATTGGTTGATTTCTTGATCAACTCATCCTGTAGATTGTCTTTTCATTTAGTTTGTGGCTTCCTTGGATGTGTGAAAGCTTTTTAGTTTAATGTGACCCCATATGTTGATCCTTGGTATTGTTTCTTGGTATTGCCTTTGCTTACACCTGTCTCTTCAAGAATTTTGCCTATTTTGTCTTCCACCAAATTAAATATTTCTGTTTTAACATTGAGATCATTTTGTACATTGCGTGGTGTGCAAAAATTTTTAGTTCAATAAAGTTGTTTTATTTAAAAAATAAAAAAGACAAAGAAGTGATGGCACACACCTGTGGTCCCATTTCTCCAGAGGCTGAGGCAGGAGGATTGCTTAAGTTCACAACTTCAATTCCAGCCTGGACAGTATAGTGGGAGTTCATCTTGAAAAGATAT